GAACATTGATAGAGTACAAAAATCTTTGTTTGGCAAAATTGTTTTGGCTTTTCATGCTCTATATTTGGGTGATAATATATGAAAAGTATATTTATTTAGAGCATTTTATATTTATGTTCAAAGGACCAGGAATGCCAATTGCTTTAATAAATTGGTAAGAAAAACAAAATGAAAGTTGGTTGCTTCAAACCGGAACTCGCATTCCATCAAATTGTTTTTTATAAAAAAGTATACGATTTTAGTTTCGATTTAAAAAATCAGCTGAAGTTCCAATCAATAGAAAATAATTAATTGCACATGCAAACAAAATGTTTTTCTCACTCTCACAGTAAAAGAGAAATAATATAAATAACATTTGCTTTACTAGAAAATTTTACCAAATTTAACATTAATTGTCATGCAGTGGCAGCTGCTTGAAGGTCGCTATTCATCTTCATATTTATACATAATTCCAAATTTTGTAGGCTTCTTAAGTCTTTACATCCAAAATGTTCTAAAATTCGTTCGAATTCCATTGAGTTACTAAACAATTTTCCTTTTAGATAATAATTAAGATATATTCATCAAACATAATTGTATGTATTTTATATATATAGTATAGATATTAATTAATAATAATAATCAAAACATTTATTAATAATAATTCTGTTAACTTGCTCAGCATGCTTTCATCCATATTCACTTAAAGTCTAAAGGCCAAAGCTTTTCATACTATTTAACTTTACGCCTGAAAGTATAATGCAATTACCTTAAATAACATTTATATTTTAAGATAACAGTCAGTTAATGAACTGAGCAGTTAATATTGTGTACAAAGCGCATGAACATAAATAATTTAGTGCAAGTGTTTGCGGAATATCTGTCAAATAAACTGCAGTGGATACGCTGCGTATACGCAATTATCCTCAACTGGTTTTGTCCGAATGTGTCCACTGCTGCATTGAGTGCACGAGAGAGTGTTTTGATATAAACACTGCTGTCAGCCTTAAATATAGTAGTTAAATGACGCACGCACTAAACATGCTGAATATTCCTGTTGTTGCAATTATTTGACATAGATTTCCAAGGGGTTGGTTCCATGGCGGTAAATTAAGCCAGATGAGCTGATAATTAAAAGCGCAAAATAGCAACAAATTGTGCGTAAAATGCAATTATTACCAGTTTAACAGCAACAACAGCTGCTTAGCCATATTTCAAATTATTTGGGCATTTCGGTTTTGGGCCTGGCCACAGCTTAACTTATTTCTTTTTATTCGGCTAACAGCTGCACACAAATTGAAAGTGACATAGAAAAAGGGAAAATGAAATGAGAAAAGCTCTTCAAGTGGCAGAAAGTCAACATGAATCTGCAATTTGGCTTAAGTTTCAACGAAGACCGCAGCGCAAATTGTTAATTCGCTTCAAACTTGAAGTTGACACAAGAAATTTGTGTGAATGCATTTTTTATGCACTGCTCTTTAGAAGTAAATAGAGAGAATCTTGAAAGCAAACAGAAGAGAGAGAGAGAGAGAGTGAGAGAGAGATGGTGAGGGAGAGATAGCGTATGGCACATGCTGGCTAAGTGAATCAAGAATTTATAACGTTTGCTCTTGAAAACCGAAAAATAATGCTTTTGACACACACCGAACATAAAATGCCCTTTTAAACTAAAGACTTTGCAGTGTTGTTAGCTGAAAGCTTTTAACATCTTTCGGCTATGGTTAGGTGAATATAATTATCAATTATACAAAAGTTACCTTTAGAGCATCTATCATTCGACTTAGCTGTGTCTCTGCGCTCTTCTTAACTCTGCATAATGAATTCAGTTGTTTATCTTTGACTGTGACTGTGGCGGTTATCAAAATAGACTTAATCGCTTGGGGCCAGCAGATGATAATATTTACGCTGGCACCGGGAAACAAGTGTGGCTCTTATGCGAACCCATGACACTCGATGTCTTTATAGCTGTGAATGCAATCTTCGTTGTCTTGAGCAGTTCAACGAACCAAAATTCGTGAGTTATCGCCAACTGTTTGTTTGAGCCGTTCTCAATCTTTGGCCATTCATCAATGTGTTCAGTGCATTTATCCTATTCAAATTTAGGGCGGCCACGCCCACTAAGATGCATTGAGCAGCTGCCAAATTTAAAGTGTGAACTGCAAATTTGTTGCCACATCCGCAGACGACGATGACGACAAAGCGTTTGACATTAGTTGAGATTTTTCAATGGTTGCTCGACAATGTTGACGACGTGTTGCAGAGCGCGGCGGGAATTGGGTGCATAAGGCAGCCATAGAAGAGCTCAAGTGTCCACACCTCGCTGTTATTGGGGTCTGCCATAAGGTGCAAAGTTCGCTTTCGCAGAATGGGCCAACGAATAAATACGAAAGAATTAATTCCGTCAACCATGCTAAGTGCCGCTCAAGGTCTGTCCCGCTTCTCTGATTTTAGTCCACTGAAACCAAATTTGCACTTGTGCATTTTTACAGTTTACTTTTGCCACTTTAATTGAATAATAACACTTCGAAATAGGTTTCAAGTCTCGATAAAAGCATTTGACTCATCGGCCGCAAAGAACTAAAACATTGGATATAATTTGTTTACGTGCCCTATATCCGCCACAAACACACAGGCACACCCGTTTGCTGTAATAACAGCGATAATTATGGGTGTGTCTAGACCCATGTGTACAACACAAAAAAAGAAGAAAGAATGCTATATAATAATTATGGCATGACATTGCTCCACTTTGACATTTGCTATTTGTGAGTCAACCTGAGACGTCGATTGCATCACAACGCTGGGATCGTTTCAATATATATTACGAATAAGTCCCGTAGTTTATGAGTCTAGTTATATAGACCGAACAAAAGTCGACATATATAGGTTAATAGTTCTAATAAATGTTCTATGCAGGCAAGTTGAAAAAGTTCTGTTTTCTGAGAAAAATAACACGCTTATCACTTTATATATATTTGTATCCCAATACCAATAATCTATAGTTGATATTGATTTTTTCCCAGAAACACAATATGGTTATTGTAGTTTAAGAAAGGAAGGTTAAGAAATACTGGTAACCTGTATTGTTTATAACTTATTTATATTTAGCAAGTTTTGTGATAGACGAACTTACAGATTCGTCAGCGTCAACAGTCAAATAATGCTCTAGGACATGTAACAAGTTTCTCATCAGTTATTTGACTAACTGATGACTGTTTACTAATAACAGTGCCTAAATTATTTGTCTATGCAACTCATAAATCAAATATAATTATAATAATTGAGTGTATTTCGAATATTTGAAGAGCTAGAGCAATCGAATTTGTTATACAGATTCCTCAAATAAAGAGTACTACGCTTTTTTGGATACCTCTTATAATTCTACTGAGAACTGCTGCTAATTACTATTCAACTTCGTTTTAATCAACTATCTTAAGTCAATTCAATTAGCAATTAGTTGAACAACAACAAAACTCTGCCCACTTTCATTGCACTTTAATTATGACTACTGTTATCCGCTTACGGCTCATTTCGCTGCGGCGATCATGCTAAGCATCCTTAACATTTAAATTCAATAACAGCATCGTTATTATACCCCAATGGACAGAACAACAACAGGAATAGCAACAGCAACAGCAACAACATGGAGCATAACCAGAAAACTTTGTCGACTTCAAAACTCATAAGGATAACTTTGCGCGAGACAAGGCAGAAAACTTATTTAGTTCTAGATTACGTGTCTTGAAAAGTTGGCAACGACATTATAAAATTTATATGCACGTTATGCGTGCTATCCAAGATGAAATGCCACGACCTGGGAGGCGACAAAGCTGGTACGACACAGCTGATGAGCCCGCCGCTCATCAAGGAGAATGTAATTACATTTTCGCCTGATTCATGACAGTTTTGCATAACGAAAAACCGCCTCGTGCCGCAGATATTGCGATTATTAATGAGACAGCCACGAACAGCATCATCAGCCGCCACAAAAGGCTAAGGCGGAGGCCAAGCTCAGATCATGGCCGACAGCTAACAAGGGTCGCGGTGACATAAGCATTGCCCCATAATCCTACATCCAACAAACACAAAAAGGTAAATGCTAAATATTGTGTATATGTATGTGAATATTGAAATATATAACTTTTATAGTTAAGCCAATTATCATTATATATAAATGTCAGCCAGCAAATAAAACATGATATATTAAGCTGTGGAATTGAGAAAAATTGATTGATTGATGATCAGCATACAGCTCAAACTGTCTGAGCATAAGAAGCAAATCTAAAGTTTTAATATACATATGTTTTCTCTTAAGTGGACACGATTTTGTTTTAGCGAACTCAAAGTTTTAAATAGTCGAAACTAACTTTTCTTTATCATTTCTGTATTCACAGATAATTTTAATACATAAAAAATAAAGATATAAATTTATGCAAACATTGCAAATAACTCTCAAAAAACCCTCGAAATCCATGATTTCTATACTTTGTCAAAAATCAAAGATTACTGATGGCTCCTCGTTAAGTAGTAAATAAAAAGTTTTTATAATAGGTTTGTCTATTGACTGGATCAATCCAGATAAGATAGAGTTTAATGGGTGCAGGTTGTTAGTTATTTGTTATTAATAATTTTGATTTCAAAATTGTATATGGATAAATTTATAAATTTATAAAAACTGTATCTGGAAAAGATAGAGCTTAATGGGTGCAACTTGTTAGTTATTTCTTATAAATAATTTTAATTTCAAAATTTTATATGGATAATTTATAAATTTACAAAAACTGTATGCACAAATATGTATAAATAAAGGGTGAAGATTATCCACCAACACGTGCACCTCCCAGCCAGATACCCAGAAATCAAAACAAATCTAGGTAATTCATGCTGTGACGATGCGAGCCCCAGCCGCTGATAAAGAAGATTAGTCAGCCGCAGGGGAAATTGCTCCAGTTATGGGCTGTTCTGTGGCTCTTATCAACTGAGGCATAAAACCCGACGTAGACGACGAAAACTGCTTAGTCTCGTTTAAATATCGGAGTAAGGCTGTGACAAGTGTCGAGCGAGTGCAAGTGCAAGTGCAAGTGCAGCGGAAATAATACTTCATTTAATATACTCCAATTAAAAGTATTTCAAGTGCCGACAAAGAAACACATCAAAGTGTTTCAAGCGAAATGAGTTTCGGAGCTGTAAGCTTAGTATTTATTTTTATTCATATTTAACATTTAACTGTTAATGTATCGTGTGACAAAGTAAGCATACTCACACATAGAATATGCGAACACGAAATTGCCAAGCAATTTATTATATAAAAATAAAATTGAAATTACACAAATTTAACAAATTTAACAAAAAGTTGAGTTAGTCATCGAGATTCGGAATAGGATTAATCTGTAAAGGCTGAGTAATATGGATTTATAAAAATATACACATTAATTTTGTTGCGAGTAAAAAAGGTTTTTTAGATACTAAAATTTTAAAAACGAGCCCAAAGCCAATAGCTTAAAAATTTACAATTTTGCACAGCTGTTGTAGGGTGGAATATTGACATATTACGTTCAAATTGTATATTTTATAGTTGTAAACATGCTAAGCTTATATGCGGGCTTCACTTGCTTTGACTCTCTTTGGAAAAGCTGCAAAATTGGTTACCAAATACTAACAGCTTACCCAGAGTAGAAGAGCGAGCCATGTGATCGGTATATTTCTATATTTATATTGTATGCTAGCCGGAAGATGTTAGATCTGGCTTCTCTTGATTTGACTCATCGCAAAAACTGCAAAATTCTTTTTTAATTAGCTACTTATCCGGGAAACTAGAGGAGGATCTATTATAGATAACGTATTCTGCATATTAAATAAATAGAATCTTGAAGTAGCTCTATGTATATATAGCTATATATATTGTATGCTTACCTGAAAAATTTAATTCTGACTATACTTGCTTTGACTCTCTTTGCAAAAGCTGTAAACTTGGTTCTCAAATAGTTATCCAGTAGAAAGGCGATCGATAACGAGGTCTGCTGATAATAGATCTGCGAAGCTTGTGAAATAGTTATGCAGTCAACATGTTCACATATTCTGCATAAAACTTTGTTAATTGTTGCTTAGTAATAATCAACAAACACATGATAAGACGTTAAGCCAATTGCAATTCAGCTTATTTATAAATATATATAAATATACACATATATATATATATATATATATATATATTTTTTTTTTTTTTAATCTCTATTTAATGTTATGTACACTTTTGCTCAGCTGTTTCCTCAATTCCATCTGGATTAATTACTCATTTTAAATTAAAATTGAACCTTTATACAATGAACTGTAACTTACAAAACTTGAACTCACACAAACAGACTTACGACACTGCTCTTCCAGTATATCCAAAAATGTCATAAGAAATCACAAAAAATAAACAAATCATTGCAGTTTGAATGCGAGGTGCTTGAGGCCCATAACCAATATAGGGCCAGGCATGGCGCACCTCCATTACAGTTGGATGAGAACTTATGTAGAGTGTCTACCCAATGGGCTCAGGTATGATCCTATTTTGTAATTAAGCAACTGTAAATAATCAATTTCCAAAACTCGTGCAGCATTTGCTGAACACAAATAGCTTCCAGCATCGGCAGAATAATAAATATGGCGAGAATCTGTATATGGCATCGGGTGGCAATTTGGGCGGTGCAGACGCTGTAAAGTCGTGGTACGATGAAATTAAAGATTATAACTTTAATTATCCAACTTTTCAATCGTCCACTGGTCACTTTACCCAAGTGGTTTGGAAGAGCTCCAAGCTGCTGGGTGTCGGTATCGCTCGCAGGTAAGCATTAACTATGCGTCTCCCATCAGGTATCTAGATTCCTCTACTCCTCCACTATTTTGCAGAGGCAACACTGTTTACATAGTATGCAACTACGATCCACCTGGCAACTTTATGAACAACTTCAGGGAGAATGTTCTTCGTGGAAACTGATATTCAACTGCGACAAGTTGGCAGTTGATGAAATAAAAATTATTCTTTTGTATAAATATTTCAAAATATTATATTCAACTATTTTAACACTGTATATGAAGTCTTCGACTATAATTTATATTTAAATAAATAACACTGCAGCATTAAAATAAAATGTGATTTATGTTAAATATTTTATTATTCTAGTCATTTATGAAACACTGAACATTTTGAATGGAATCTTAAGACACATGATTTAATCTTTTTATAACACAGTCAGGCTTAATGACTGCTCGGTGTTGGAGTTGCTCAAAAGTTACATTCGATTAGATTTACTAATCAGATGTTCTGGAAATCCAAGCTAATTCTTTATTGAACTCATTATGCACCGCGCTACAACTTTGTAAATATCCCAAAGCAACAGAAAATTGTTTTACATAAATAATCCACAACATATATTAGCTGAACAAATGAAATCTAAATTTTTTTAAAATTTGAACGATAAACAACATTAAAATATAATTTCAAATTATTATTTATATAATATAATTTATTTGAAAAATCACTGTTTAAAATCACATTAAATACAATATTATTAATAAGTGTGCTCTGACTCACGTTCCCCCAACTTAATCAACTAAAGTAAATATATAGGTATGTTGTAGTAGGACTAAAGCTAGTAATAATCAAAATAGTAAAAGTTACAATAGTAGAATTAATTATAAAAGACAATTTTGGGTCACTCATGGAATTTCAAACAAAATTATTTAAATGAATAAAACTAAACAGAATTTAAGACGCTTAAAAAAGAAAACTAAGTTGAATTCAAACGAGTTATTTAACAATTTTTAACAATTTTATTTAATTTTTATTTAAAAATTTTCGACTTGCTGACTTCGAATCTTTCATTGCAATGTGATGGAGTTTCGAGATATTTTAAAGTCGCCTAATACCTAAAAAATTCTTGTTTCAATATATCAAAATAAATCCAGAATAGCCTGATTGTTTTTTAGAAGTTTTATTCATTAATTGAATACAACTGAGCATAAAAGTATAAAAAGATCTCAGTAATTGAAAAAATAGGAACGCATAAACAGGTTGGAAACAAAAATGGTATATAAACAAACATATTTTTTATATACACGCTAGAAGTGGTGATAAATTGGCGTCTGTTATCGCTCAGACCCATCGCTTTACGAATGACTGTACATCCGCCTTTATTTTATAGCTAAAGTTATATAGTGTTTATATCAATAGATTAGTAAAGACGAAAGCTACAATCGATAGTTTGATTAAAGATATATTTCAACAGAGCATATCTTACTACACTAATTAAATGAATTGAAGGTGAATTAGTTGGAGACTTCGTCTACTCTTCGATTGTGCAGAGCGTTTGACGTGGATGGGAACGTGCTGTGTACGTAGTGCTGCCATGGCATATATAGCCATTGGTGCCGGCTTTTGTGTTGGCCACTTTGAGATCCTTACCATCGGCGACATCTAATTTGGAGAGCCGTTGCTTGGGCTGGTGGCGTTGCACGTGAACGCCCGCCAGGCGCAGTCGGCGGTAAAGCGAGATGTATTTGCCAGCCGTTGTCGTTCGGGGCACAATGTACTTCTCACAGAAGCTGGTCTTGGTGCGGGCCGCGTCGCTGAGCTGGGCATAGCTGAGGGCCTGCAGGAAGGCCAGCACAAAGGTGTAGCAATTGTGGCTGCTCTCCTCATAGCGAGCAATGGACCAGCGCGTTGAGTCGCCACAAATCTAGCGGGCAAGAGGCAGACAGGTAGCATCAAGATTTGCATGCAATCCGCATATATCTATGTATATGAAGTGGGCACTCACCTGTTCGAGCACCTCGTCCCAGTAGTAATGCCACGGCTCTGGCACATCGCCCACCAGCAATGATTGCCACCAGTCGCGAGGATTATCGTCGCGCCGATGCCGCTGCAGTCCATCCCTATCGAATTCGACAATGTCGCCGCCGGATGTGGTCACCGCGATATGCAAATCTGTGGCGTTGCTGTAATCGCTGCGGAAACACACGGGCAACACAAAAACGCATCAGACACATTTTGCATATTACACAAGCCAAATACAAAAAAATCCCCAAATGAAAATGCCTCAAATTTCTGCACTGCGATGGCTTTTGCAGCAGCTTCCCTGATAACACCAATTCGCCGAACAAATTTTTTTACTGTCTGCTGAACAAAGCTGCAAAATTGTATATTTCCATCTAAATGTATGCCGAGCCGTAACATTCGAGGGAAAACTTGGTAGAACTTTGCTCTTAAATTTAGGTTCAGCTCTAATTTAGATACAGCTGCAGATACAGTCTCAGTCAAAAGTATTTACACAGCAAACTTTTATTCTGAATATTTGGTTTTTTTTTCGCTAAAGCTGAAAACAATTTGGATTAGCTGACAACAAGAGCAAATCATGATTATGCATAGAAAATATCAAAGGTAATTACAGGTGTGAAAATTATTTACATTTTAATTGAAAACAAATTCAAAATTGAATTAGGAAAACTCTGCAAAGAATGGAACTCAATTGAAAACCTCTTGAAATTGTTAGCGAATTGAAAACTTTGTACAAGTTTCTTAAGAGTGAATTTAAATACATATAGCTATTTATTATTAGAGCAGAAATTTGAATATATCTTGTGGTATATATGAACCAAGTTTGTATGCCATGAAATCTCTTTCGTATGGAGTTTTTTTTACTGAAGACTACCAAAAGTATGCTACACTTAATTTATGAATCCAGTTGCAGTCTCTTAACAATTTCAGGCCATGTTGAGTTACATTTTCCTATGCAACACATATTAGATTTGTTTGTATTGGAAAATTCATGTAACAGGCAGTAGGAGGCATGGCAGATCACATATGCTTAAATGCTTAAACGGGATCAGCAGCAGCGCAGCTCTAGGCCTGTTGCTCTAAAGACTACAAACTTCCTTCATATTGCAAGCGCAGATCGGCTGAGGGTACGGGTATCTCTTAGTCGAAGCTTGTCGTTCTACCTTTAGCATTTCAATTTTTAACTTTCATTGTAGCAAAAATCAATTGAAATCTAAGCTTGCTTCATTAATTTTCTGCTAGCGCTTACCTTCCGTGTTAACATGATCGAAAATGGGAAAAAATGTGTAGTGAAAAACTATATTCAACTTTTGCCAAAACTAGTCGCTTACAAACCCCCATGGCTGACCAATCAATTATTATACGCTCGTAAAGTGGCCCCATTTACTTACTTGAGAAAGTCGCCTGTGGAGGGACGCAGAACGATTGCACATGGATGCTGTGTGGCCCGGACAAAGGGATAGGGCAAGCGAAAGGGCAGCAGTCTCGTAATGGTAATGGTCATGGGGTTAGGGCTACTGTTGCCAACACCAGATGCGTTTGGTGTACCATTTGCGGACCCTTCCGCATTCGTATTCGCATCCGCATCCGCATCCGCATCCAGTTGCGCATTGCAATGGGGACAAGTGAGGGGCAGAACGAAGCAGAAAACTTTTACGTTGCAGTGATGAAAACACAGAATGCCCGGATCTGAGGTAATTGTGGTTGTAGATTGTCTCCTTGTTGTTGTTGTTGTTGTTGTTGTTGCTGCAGCTGCTGTTGATGTTGTTGTCGCCAACATGACTGCCTCTTTGGTAAGTTCGGATTGCTCAGCTTGCACCCGTATTATAATTGATACACTTTGTCTCTATTGTATGTTCTTGTCTTGTGGTTGTTGTTGTCGTCGTTGCTGTTGTTGTTACGGTTGTTGTTGCCTCTTTGGTGCTTGTGGTTACGCAGTGCTGCAATAAAACGAACATTTCTTGTAAATAAGCCAAACCCAGCCGAAATGTGACCAAAGTTGTTTGTACGAATTGTCCAATCCTTGGCCATACGACCGACCAGCAGCTTTTGCCCTGTATAGACGAAGGCAAACAGACAATATCTCCCTCCGCCCCAACTAACAGTTTGTCATTATTATTGACAAAGCTCTTGACTGTGGAGTTTCTTTGTGCCTACATTTTGATTAGCATGATTTTGGCTTGAATGACAGAGATTAAAGGAGAGAGAGAGAGAGAGAGAGAGAGATATATGAAAGCTGTTATGGACATTATCCTGATATCATTTAATGCGCATACACACAATTGTCTAAAGAATTTTATTTTTTAGCTTGAAAGCATTTTGTGAATTAAATAATATAGTTTTTACCATTTCATACATATATAAATACAGTTATAACTAGGCATAAAAACATATTTATAATTTATACATTTTAATTATCATTTTTTATCATTTTTATATTTATAAATTAATTATTGTAACTTGCCTTTACCTACATATAAACAAACTTCTTAATACTTTAATAATAAACTTTGAGTAGTCTGAGTGACGAGGTTTTAGAATCTACACGCAAAAGGTTAACAAGAATTTGAAGTATATACTAAAAATATTTTTCTATAATTATTAATCATATTCAAATTTCATTCATATTATTCAAGATTTTTTACATAAAAAATGCCCAAAATAAATTTTCTTCCAAGAGTTAAAAACTTTGATCAAACTCCAACTTAAACTATTTACATATGCAATATTATTTTTAGTGTCTTGAGCAAACACATGCTCGGCGCTAAAAAGCCGGCTAAGGTGAAAATGGGCGAAAACGTAAACAAACCGGCAAAATGAAAACAAATCTCAAAGTGAAATATAAATTGAGCCTAGGCGCAAACTCACCACGACGCAAAGCAATGGCAACGCTTGAGCGCGAGCGGGACAGCAAGAGCGAGAGAAGGAGAGTGCAAGCGCCTAGCGAGCCGCTTGAGAGAGAACAGCCCCGAGTTGCATTTCGTTTGGCTGTGGTGAATATTGTGCAGCTCACATCAAATTTCCCTGACGCTGTCGCTGCGTGTCGACGTGCAACGCGTCAGCCCGAACCTCGAGGCGGGACCAGTTGACGGCGAGCCGTGCGAGCAGTCGGTCGTGTTGTTGTCGCAAAGGGCAGCTAAGAACTGACTACTGTTGTTCCATACGCCCAGTGTAATCTTACTATGATCAGCATTATCACAGTGAAATAGCATCAAACAAACATAATCATAATTATAAACACAATTCGTAAACAGTTTTAACTGGTCTTCAGTGCGCGCGCAAAAAAAAAAGGATTTGATTATTGTGTCCGCGTACTGCAGCGTAGGGTTGACCAGCTCGAAGGATATGCCGCATTATCCTGCCAAAACAAAAATATAAACACTCAAGTCGCAGCACGTCGCCGCCCTTGTCGCCAAAGTTACGTGCATTACAGTATTGTCCCGTTTCTCCGTGTGTGTGTGTCGTCACCGTCGTCGTCTGTGTCACCACGTTGCGGTCTGGACGATTTCTAACCACCCTCCGCTCGAACTATTCCCGCTCCGGTACGCTCTGTGTGTAGTTTATGCGGTTAGCGTCCAACTACCGCGCGCGCCCCCAACCTTCGTGTGTTTTTTAGTGTGTGTGTGTCGCTGCTGCTGGCAAGTGGCCGCCTTTGTTGCATGGCAACACTTGGCTAATCGATGAGGTGCCGAAAAACGCCAGGCACACACACTCAAACGCCCAGCTAAATAAGGATAACACAAGGATAATGACCTATACCGATTCGGTAGGTAAATCTGGCGCAAACATCTCTTCAAAACAAACATTCCTTCCAAAATGTCAATTTAAATAGGCCAAGCTAAACAAATTCAAAAGCATTAACTGATTCTCAACCAACTTTTCGTGGCAGATTTGCGGCTGCTGCTGCTGCTGATTGTTGTTGTTACTGTCCGTTTGTTCCTGTTGTTGTTCTGGTTGTCAACATTGTCAGAAATGTTAAATGTGACATTTTCGGTTTTATCGCCACGCAAAAAGATATCCAAAGTTGGCAGCCAACAAGCACAAACAAGCAAATGGCCAAGAAATTTTCCTTAAATTGTAGAAATTGCCAAAAAATGAGTTCAAGCCATTTGATGGCTTTGGCTTTATCGCTCTGCCAATTAAGGGGCGTGGCCATGTGGACGTCAAATAAATTGTTTACTTGGCCAAGTTTGCCGCAGCAAAAAGTTGGCCCTTCAAAAGATGACAGCTTCGTAGCAGACTTTTTGATATGGGTCCAGTCGATATCGAAGAAATTCGTTAAATTTACCAAAATATACGCAATACAAACAGTTAAATGCGATTGGGGTCCAGGGCTTTTGATGAATACACTTGTATTTCAAATGCAAATTGAAATGATGATGAGCCTAGCCACAACTGAATGTCTAGATATGGGTTAAGCTGGCTAAAAGGTTTGGCAACAGCTTGAAGCTCAAATAGTGAAAGGCAACATTTTCCAACTTAAACTTGATATACTTTAATATTTAATGAAGTTCTTGAGAATTCTTGAAATGGAAATAAAAGTATGAATTAATTGGCTTAGCTATTTGGGCTTGAAATTTACATTAAAATAAAATGTTTAACGTTTCACTGAAGTCTAAATATTACAAAAAAAAAAATATTAGTAATTAGTATCAATTAAATTTATAGTTAAGTTTAATTTTATTTTTATTTTTTTTTTTTTCTAATGAATTATTTTATTAATTTTTTATTTTCATTTTCACTAAATAATCTTTTCTATTAGTTCCAATTAGTTTTGTATAATATTCAAATTTTTTTCTATCGATCTATATGTATTTACGTACATCTGAAAAATTATGGCTTTTATAGCCACGCCTACATTGACAAGGGCAAAAGGCCAAAGTGTATGCCGCTACTATTTGCATTCTTAAAGCCCAATTCAATGTTGGCCAACAAACTATCATTTTACTGAAGCTTTAGCTCATATAAAATAAGGAGTTTTTTGGCAATAAGCTGAGAAACTAAATAGAATATATTCAAGCTCTACTTTACTAATACTTTATTATAACATATAAAATATAAAATAGTTTTGTATTTTATACACAAATTGAAGTATTCAGCCATACATAATTCCCTTCAATCGGCAGAAGCCTCAACAGAATTATTTCAGCAAATCAAAAACTTAATTTTCTGTTCAAGTTTTATTTAAAAAACAAATCTTCTCTTTCAGGCTAGAGTTAGAAAAGAAAATGTAGCCACAAAATAAATAAATTAGACAAATTGAAATTCGCAAAATAAATAAATTTGGAAACTAATCACAAAAATAGAAGTATATAAAATATAAAATATATACAAATTTATTTACCTACCAATTGAGAGCAAATTAAAAATCATTTAAAATACTTTTATGCAAATTTGTTTTGGACATATTCTGTTGGTTATTTGTTTTGTGAATTTAATTTGATTTTCCACTTTTCTATTTCATATTTTGAAGATTTTCAGCAGCTGCCGCACAACAAATCCAAAGTAAAAAGTTCAATTTGTTTTGGCATTGGGCAAATGCCGAGTGCCAAAGGCAGTTGCTAAGGAGCTAAAAAGTAAGGCCAAACAGACTTAAAATAACAGCAACAACAAGTACAATACATGAGAGTAATGCGAAGAAAAATTAAATTGATTTGAGAACGTTTCATTTAGAGTTACAATTGATTTTTTTTAAAACAGAACGAATAGGAAATACCCTTTAAATTTGTTAAAATTCACATTCATTTGAAATATATTTTTAAGTTTTCTAAGTCATTGAGTGTATTCCCTCTGCGTGTCACACATTGTTGGACTGTCAGCAAGGGCAGAGATAACTAAAAGGCGACGCAAACAAGCGGCAAAACAAATGCAATAACAGATATGACAAGGACACGCCACAACCTTACTTTTTTCACTTTATAATCTTTTTCCCTTTATGTTGTTGCGATTGCTGTTGATATTGTTGTTGTTGTTGCTAACACGGCAGCAGCAGAAATAACAAACAACAATCTCAAGTGCGAGCTAAGAAATCCAAACAAACTTTATCTTGCGAATCAAACATGCCAACCATACACACACGCACACACGCACACACATGTGAGTTCTAAGAGCAGTTGTCAGAAATGAAATTACAACTTGCATCCTTTAGCCAAGGACTTGGCTCAAAACGAATTGTTTGCACAGTGAAAACATGAAAAGGGCAGCTAGAAGCAGAATAAGAAGAAGATGGAGAAAAAAGAAAGCAAACTCACGCATTTTAGTGAATTTAATGAGATCTCTGTACACACACACTCACACACACACACAGTTAAATGAGAAGTGTGCGCAAAATTCAGTAATCAAATATTTATGCACAATGTCAAGCGAAAAGCAAAAAAAAAAAAAAGAAAAGATAAAAACTGTTAAAACATTCTGCCAAACAGCAGCAGACATATAAAAAATGCAAAGCATATAAAAAGAAATAAAAATGTAAGAAACAGGAACTGTGAATCTGGCTAAAAAATCCTTTGACACTTGCCAAAACGCTAACGCAAAGGAAGCAAGACGAATTCTTAATGCTCTTAGCACCCAAAATGAAATCTATAATAAACTAAAATATTTGTTATTATAAGCTGACAATATATAAAATATGAATTAATAAGCTAATAAAATATTTAGTCCTAAAACGGAAAGCAACTTAATTAGAAGTAGCTGAATATGGCACAGAATTTTTTTTATTTAGAATAGAATTTATAAAACATTTTTGTATTATTTTACATTACATTATTATGTGTGCTGTCAAATAAAATTTAAAGAAATAATCTAAAATATTTAGAAATAATTTTGAAAAATATTAAAATAATTTTAAAGTTGTAATTTATAAATAATAATTTAATTTAGAGACTTAACTAAAATATTTACATAGAAATTATGTTGTACTTAACGAATTTTTAATGTTGCACAGTTGCTTAAGGGGCTTTCTCACATTAATCATTTATTAACAACTCAAATAAATTATTAATTCAACAACTAAGATTTCCCTCTTCAATTATGCCGACATTTTGCATTTGCCTGGCAAATCTTATTGCCAAGTTTGAATGCCCCGTGTGTGTTGCAATTAAACCTGAAATTTGCCAAGCTTGAAGTGCGAACAGCAAAAAAGGCTGCACAGACAGCAAGGGCAAGGGCTTTAAGATGGTATACAGTAACAGCCAACAACAACTGCCAACTGTTAGCTGCCAACAGCCAGGTTAAAGTGACTCAAATATGTTTATTGTCAAGCGAGATTGCGCTCTGCCGCTTCTGGCTTGGTTTTGTTTTCTTTACACTTTTTTCAACATCCTTGAGCTGTCGTATGCTCAACTAAATTACAACAACAACAGCAATATGACCAGGCCAAATTGAAGTAAGCCAAATTGACAATAAGGTTAGCCGTGGTCCATGCACCCAGAGAAGTTGCTCAAGCGAAGGCTCGAAAGTGAATTAATTCACAGGCACAAGCTCACACACACACGCATACTCAGGTGCGCTCAACGTGCATGATACCCAGCCCCAGCAGGCCTACTGTATCAGACACGCCCACATCATACGCCTATACGCCCCAACGCTGGGCAGCCGCACAAAGCCCAAGTGTGCGCGCTTTGAAGTTTCCGCTTCCGCACTGAACAACGCATTGTTGTCGCAGTAGTCGTCGTCGTCGTTGCTGTTGTTGTTGTTGTTGTTGTTGTTGTTGCGAGACACTCATTTCAAGTTGGTCGCACATTTGCACAACAACAAACAAGCACGCACACACGCATGCATCCGTACACACACGCAACGTGCGTCGATGACTCCGAGCATCTTCTTCGCCGCTGCGACGATGTTATTATGCCCTAAACCCATTGAAATCAAGTTTTGAAACGGGTATATTGGTTTTATGAATATGTTTGTAATATGTAAATAAGTAGGAGAGCTAAAACTTGTAGAATATTTTATATTTTAGTTCTTAGAAATTATATTTCAGTTGCATAAATAGATATAAAAGTATGGTTTAAAGCTTGAACTTACAATTAAAAAAAAATATAAAACGTGGCAAGATGAAGAGTTGACTATGTATCATCCTTGAAGTATATTATTTTATATAAGAATCATAGTGTATGCGAAATAATATGTGAAACTCTTGCATACATTCTGAAAATGTTTTCAAGCTTAGTATTTATTATATAAAAATATATTTATTATATAAAAATATTTTTCAAAACTTTATTCTCAAAAGAAAGCTTAAAAATTATATGAGCTTCTAAACTTGTCTTGAAGAGTTTCTTAACAGACTGACAAACTTTTAGTTCCCTAATCTGTGAGCTGGTAGTATGAAAATCTAATTTAAGTTCTAAAAAATATGGATACAAATCTTCAATCTTCTTCTTTCCAACAAGGCTCAAATTATAAGAATTTGGTACCCTAAGAATTTTTATGAGAATGCTGAACAGCCACGCAACACGGCTTTTACCTGCTTGCAGTAAGTTTCTGAAAATTTCTGCCCTTCAATAAATCAAATTCTATTATTGGGGTAAACATGTACACTTGCTATAAGCACTTCTGGTTTTACTCTTAAGAACTTCATCATTTCATATGGGAGTAAAAACTCTGTCCTTAAAATGCAATTCTCGATAGGATATCTTTGCGTCGAGCACACCCCACTCTCACACACTTATGTGTGGTTGTTATTGTTGTTGGCGGTGATGCTGCTGTTGCTGCTTAAATCATGTAAATTTTTAAATTTAAAACTCACATTATGTTGTCACCCTC